TTGTTGTTGTTGTTGTGTGTGTCTTTTTCTTCACCAAAATATGTCATTCCATGACAACATGTGGCTGCTCTGACAAAAATCCAACATATCTCCATGTGTGCTGATTGGCTGGAATGAGGAGCAGCGTGTCTGGAAGGGTGTCTATTATTTGGGTGGTCGTAACTTCATTACTCAGTGTATCTGAGTAATTGCTTATGCACTAGATAGAGAACAGAGTAAAGCATTTTCTGCTTAGGGATACAATAAATCACATTTGCAATGTTCAAGCTGAATTTCAGATCTCTCCAACATTAATAGGTTCACAACGCTGCTTCACACTCCAGTCTTAGCACCAATCTTTTGCTTAAGAGTACATATTGCCCTTGATGACAGAAAACTGTGTGATAAAGATGTGATGGAAACAGACAGGTATTTTACAATGAGGGAAAAGGATGCAGTTCCTTATGCCCTATTAGCAACACAAACAGCAATGAAATATTTATATCTCAAGTTGTAGTTCAGATACGCAGGAGCTAAGAAACAGCAGTGTTAAATTTGCCACTGCAAGTTTTACTTCCTCCCTAATTCTAGGGTGTTCTGATATGTATTTGACAGCACGATAACACGCTACTCTCTCCTCAGGGCTCCTGCTTCACCTAATACACCCTAAAAGAACACTTATTTCATATTTAGTTTTCTGCTTACAGTGAAATTAATAGCTGTGTGCTTTGTTTGTTGTAAACTAGTCAAATGGTGCTCTGAAGTCAGAATGATTAATTTCCTGATACATTCTTACACGCTATTCTGCACAATTTGACTGATGGGAGTGGGAGCTGCTGAGATCAAAGTCATAACTTCCAGCAAGTTTAAGTGCCTACATTGGAAAGCCTGTGGTGGCCTGCATGTTTTTCTGTCAGAGAAGTTAACATTGATCATTATGACCTATTTTGTTGAAAATACTGACATTTCAATGTTTGTTTTCAATCTCATTAAGAAAAAGAGATTCAAAAGGTTGTCTTTTTCAGACTTTTTCTCTGCACAAACTCAGGTTTCAACCTATATGCCCTGCCCCTTTGCCTTTGGAGCTTAGAGAAATACCTTCACAGATCCTTTGCAAAATTAATGTTGAGTGCCACATTTCTTCTGATCCTGTTTTTCTTGGTTTTCTTTTGTTTTGCTTTTGGCCTCTATAGAGGTTCCAAAAAATTCTTCAACATAATTTAGTGGTCTGTGTTTTTTCCTTATTTTGCAGACTGGAAACTTCGGATTCACAACTTTACAGCTATACACACCTGTAATGGACCCTTACGTCTCACCAGAGGAAATCTATCAGAATTATAAACCACAAACTACACTTATGAGCTAATTAACCATGTAGGCACCAGCAGACTATACAAGCTCAACTATTAATTATACTCGGTTTCTTGAGCCTGTCCTTGATCTAGCAAATCTCTTATGCACAGCAGGACAGCAGAATACTCTAAACTGACCAAGAAAAGCCTTTCTCCTCCCTGTCATGAAGGGAGCCAGCCGAGCAGCCTGTTTAAGTCACTGATTCCTCTCTTTCTGTAAATATCAGTACAGTTGTTAAAACATTTGAAACATGTAAAGGCTGAGGTGGAGAAATACACATTTGATTTTGATTAGAGAGTAGGTTCTGAGGCATGTGCCATTTCCCCTCACATCTGTAATTGATATATTTATGTGACAGAGGAAAAGGCTTGCTGAAAATATATCACTTCTTTGTAGACCACCTTAGCATCTAGATTCTCTTTCCATTCTCAAGATGGAAACCAGGAAGTGCCATAAGGAGCCCTAAAAAAAAAAAAAAAAAAAAAAAGACAAGATGATCTATCTGAAAGAAGTACAGGAATAAGAGTTTTGTTCTAGGTAGATAGTTACATGTGGCAGATGAAAATCTGGTATTTTTCAACCTTTTTTTTTTTTTTTTTTAAGTGTTTATTTTCAATTATACTTTCTATTGCTAATGGTAGAAGAAAGCCAATCTGAATTTGTACTTGACGCGGAAATGAGAAATAGCAATGGGAAATTTTCTAAGATTCATTTTGAAATAAATATGTAAATATGCAAATATTTATCTCAAATTATTTTGGGGCCCATTTTCTTAGAAGCCAAGATTGCAGCCTGGTTTTTTTAAAAAAAAAATAAAAAAAAAAAAAAAAAAAATAAAAGAAGCAGGTGATCTCCTTGCTTGAAAACAGTCTAACCAAGTCATTTATTTCTTCTCATCTCCCTGCCCCAAGTAGAAGAAAAGTACTGATTGATTGATAATTTCCATGTTTATATACTGGGCTTGTGAAACGTTTGTGGAACCCTAATGCAGCACCAAAGTATACTTAAGTGTGTGCTTTGAATGGTCTTTGTCTGCTTGTTGTTGGAGGAGTTCTCAGGTATGAGGATCCCTCTGTGCCTTTTAATTGCACTTCCTTTTATTTCTAAATAAGCATGGGTTGGCACATACTGATGCTATTCCAGTTTTTCCTATCAGTCACAACACAAAGGCATGAAGAACAACTCCTTGGCTCATGGAAAGTGCTTACTTTCTTAATGATTTCCCATCAACAGAACATTTCATTACATACAAATATTATGAAAGACCTTATTAGACAGACAAGTGAGGGAGAAAATGCAATGTTTATGCAGAAATAGTAACTTGAAATGTCTTTTGTGTGTGCATGTGAACTCAAAATTCCAGTCTTTTTCTTCTATTACAATACTGCTTGCATATCATTTCCTTCTTTAGGTAAAAGAATGTGAATTGCTGATACACACATGGAAATCCTATCTCATAGTGATTGTAGAGTGCATCTCAAACTAATGGATTTTTTTCCTTTCTGTATTTTAATCCCCTCTCCTGTTCTTATGTAAGGCAGAAAAAAATAATAACAGCTGGTAGTCTTTACCGGCCATCTATGACCAGCTTCAGCAGTTTGTTGGAGCTATTGATATCATTGTTTTAATTTTCATATAGGAAACAGGTTGGGGTAGGGCACAGATGAGGGAAGAAGAAAATGTAAAGATTATGCTACAGCATGGAAAAAATGATTTTCTAAATGCGTAACATTCTTAGTTCTTAGCTACAGCTGTCATCGTCCCTCCAGCACATTCTCAGAAAAATCACATATTTCAAATATGGCTTGCCAAATAAGCAAAATGCGACTGGAATTCCTCTTTCTCTCTCTCTTTTAACACGAAGGATACACGTGGAAAATAACAGGGCCGTAATGAGTATGTTCCTCAAAGGCTTCTTTATGTCTTAGAAGAAACAATACAGACTGAATCTTTTGGTAACCTGCTACCTTGGATTTCTCATCCAGAAAACAAAGGAGCCATGACCACGTGTAGGCACTGGTGCCAGCTAAACTGTGTATTTTCTTCAGATAACAAGGAGTATGATGTAGTACAATCTGTACAATTATTTGCAAATGCATGAGTCTCATTTGACTTACTTGATATTTAAAGAAAGTAAACTGGCATAGAATTTCTACTACTATCGCTTGCAATAACAGCTTGCAGCTAAAAACCATTGTGCGTAAGTGCAAATTGTGAATTAGCATATCTTCCAAGAAAGAAAAAAAGAAGAAGAAGCAAAAAGCAATCGCTTAGACTGCATCTACTAGCTACAATGACAAGACACTAGTCCCATCACTGGGAGCTCACAAGCTCACACTCAGCAGACGTTTTATTTAGAGGCATTATCAGATAGACAGTGCAAACAATGCAGAACTCAGACCTAGTGGAATGTGACTGAATTTGCTCTGAGCCAATGAGAAGGGGAAGAAATGAGAAATGCTGTTGACAGTTGTAGTCAAGTTGGCAATAGTCAAATTATTTTGTCTTACATGGAGGGGAACGCGCAGACATGCGTGTGTATTCACACCAGGGAATTGGATCACAGGTGATGTGCCAAGCATGAAACTGAATATGACATTGACTTCATCCAGATGGAGCAGCAGTGATTATTATATGACAAGGAACAATCATGTTGGAAATGTGCTGTGCAGAAATTATAGTAATAGTGATTTAAAGGCAGTGGAGGAGTGGGTTCGTACTAAGAAATTATATAAAAAAGAAAAAACCAAACAGTGATAATATGAATAAAGTAGATTAGTCATGACCAAAATTGTTTTAGGAAAGGATGCTAAAAGAGGTCCTCCTGGGATAGACTGGAAAGTTGAATTTGGAAATGAACAAATAATTCTTTAATGTTATTAAAGAGAGAAATACTCCTGAGATTTGTGTCACAGGAAATTTTAACTTCTCAGTCACTGAGACTAAAAACCATTAGCAAAAATAGACCATGTCACTGGTATGAAAATTTAAAGGTATATTTAACTGAGCAGTCAGCAAACCAACTGAGAGTGCTGCTACTCAGAAGTTTGTCTCTGTGACTAACACCAACAGTATAGATAAGGTGGCTGTAGGAAATACCTAAGGTGATCACATGAGGTTGATTTAATTTATGTGAGTTGGAATGCAGGTCTGTGACTTATTCTTACTTTAAATAGGGAGAACCATACATGATGAGGGAACTAAATGGTGAAGTCACTAAGAGTAAGACTTCATTTTAACTGAAGCCTGGAATTTTTTTGGTATTAAATGTGTAGACTTGCTGGAGACTTTTCTTTGCAAAAGAAGTGATATGCCCAGCCAGCTCTGGAAATGAAAACAAATTCTCTTGAAATAGATGCTAGGAATGCACAGAGACTCCCCAAGGATAAAGAAAAATATTAAGCTGACAAAGACATTGTCTTAGACATCAAGAAGCTCAGGGATAAAATGGAAATTGTCAGCAGGCTGCTCTTACAAAATACCTTCAAATGCTGAGCAGAAAGCTCTCCTGAGGTGTGCAAGTAAAGCTGTACATGGACTGTCCCTCATGGGGTGGGAACAGACCTCAACTCTGAATCCCTCATCGCATTCCTATAGTTTGGGAGACTCAGGGGACACTGTGGTGTTTGTATTTTGGGTCACACACCATCACTGGCTAGTAAGTAGCAAAACTGTATGTGGAGGGCAAGAACCATTCTAGATAAGCGTTTGGATATTTTTCTTTAACAATGAGAACATTTTGGTTCAAATTTCTTTTGAACACCTGGTGAGGTTGGCCAGGCTGGGCCAACTTTTCAGCTCGAGCATCATTTTGGCCTGAAGACAGCTGCCCAGGGCAGGAAGGGTCAGCCAGAGCAGTGAAAAGCTTAGAAAATGACACCAACAAAGTCCTGCAATGGCAAGTGTTAAGAAACTAATTATCAGCCCAGCCTCATTGCTAGCTTGCGTAATGATTTCACATCAGAGCATTCAGCAGGTTCTCAAAGCTCTCTTTTGAGGCAAGGGGAACAAACAAGTAGATTTTCACTGAATTTCTCTCTCCTCCTTACTAATGAGGATAAACATACCAAAGGATCCCACCCATCTCAGGAGGATGTGCCCCTCCTTAAATCCTGTGGCTACTTTATCTAGATCAAACAACACTGGCTCCAAAGGTGTGACAGCAGTTGGCCAGCATGCAGTTGCTCTTGCTTGACCCATATCTGGAGGATCAACCCTATTCCTCAAGATATCAAGGGATAGCTTGGGGAGCTATCTCAGCCTAATTTTGAATGGACAGAGTGGAGATTTGATTCTGGGCTTCTACAGTTGCGCTCATCATTTTTCCTACTGGCTTCATACAAAGTTCCCTTCTCTCAGTCATTTTTCACTTTCCAGTATCTCTGACAACACAAGCTGACTATAGTGTTGCTGATTCTCACTTATCATTCGTAAAGCATTTGATACTTTTGTTTAGTGTTCTCTTTTTCCCCAGCTGTCTGAGACCTAGTTTCTGTATTTGGTCTCCTTTGTGACTATAGAAGAAATGTGATGTCTCTAGTCTTAAAGAAATACTTGAAAACTCAGTGGATGTAGACAGCACAGTAATCAGTGGTAAATTCAAATAAATAATATACTGTTTTCTGAAGCGTTAGTCACAGTTTTGAACAATAAGGTTTAAAATGATGACTAAAATAATAAATATTTTTGTATTCTTACAGAAAATCTTTACTCTAGACCCCATTTTTATGTTAAAGGAGCATCCCTGCTTGTTTTCTGATTTCAGCATTTTACACATTTTTGAAAACACTGAAGTGAAGCCTAAAGAAGTAATGAGATGATGTCAAAGTAAACGAGAATTTTTGTGTTTAATTCTTTGCTGTTGTTTTGTGGTCTCAGGCTAGAAATTTGTCTCTCTTTCTCTCTGCTTTGATTCTCTTTCTCTGGGGATGATATAACTTTCCTTTTCCTGGAAATGCATTATTTTAATCACTGTAAGAGATAACAAAGAGGCAACACAGTAGGCTCGTGGCATTGTGGTAAGCATCACTTCTCAAAAGAAATAGCAAAAAAAACTACCTCTAAACTCTGGATGTTTGAGGCTGGATCATTCTAAATAATTCTACCAAGTTACGGTGTCCTCTTTGAGCTTGTGAGGTAAGGATACCAATAACATTAGTTATAGTTAACTAATAACATTAGTTAATGGTTGGTTAATGATCTGAGCCTTGCTGCTGCCTCAAGCCTTGTTTTTACTAATATAAAGATATTTTCAGCTCTAATATTGAGAAATGCTTCAGAAAATCTATGCATCTGTGAAATGAGTGGGATGAGTTTGCTTTACTCTATCTAAACAGGAAATATAGTACTGAATAAACTGCTTCTATGCTGCTTGAGTTTTGTGGCTAGATTACTATGTCCTGGGCCTTGTGATACATTTATCTAACCTAGAGAACAAGATGAGAAGATCAGCAAGGAAATTGCACACTGCATTGATTCTCCACAGTCATAAGTCCTATGCACAGTAGGCACTGACTAATACTGTTGGATTCTGTCTGAATTTCAGACAGAAGCAGCCTGGAAGGAAGGTATTCCCCAGTTACCTCTGGACATAATAGCCACCAGACAGAGAAAACTGCTGACTGACAGTGTTGTCATTCAGATAAATGGCTGGCTTATCACTAGATTCTTCTTGTTTTGTTCTCATTTTCTCTGGGAGTACTCTTTAATCTTCTGGGGTCAGTCTAACATCTTTATTCT